CTTGACTTTTCAACATTTCACATTTAACCAATAATAAACTTTTCTTTCAATTATAAATCCAATATTTAGTATATATGCAAATTTGTTCCTTAATATTCAAGTTAAATCCATATCAACTATTTTCACATTATATTAAATGTAATACATTAACTTTACCCAATTGTCATTTTACCACCAACTTTCCTAAAACTTACGAGTTTGATATCTATCTTATACAACTTTTCACATTAAACCAAATACCAATTTAACTATTCAAGTCCCTCTAATAATTATTTAAACTTTACACATCATATCATACTCAATTTCTACTTTAATCCCTAATTTATCCATATTTATAATTTAATTCTTTAGCTTATATATTCTTCCAAATTTGATTCTAAATCCATAATATCATAATTTCAACCAAAGTTAAATTCTTTTAAATTTTCAATTCAACTTTTCTATTTTTTTAATATAGTCCTTATTGTCATTTAATCCTAAATTCACAAAATATTCCAATTCACCATCTAGACATCAAATGTATTACTCCAAATTTTAATCTCATCTTAATACATCAATTATTAAACAATTACACGTTAATCCTAATATTTCTCAATTTATGGAATTAGATCCCTATACTTTCACTATTTTCCAAATTGGCCCAAGTCATATTCTAATCATATAGAATTACTCATTCATAATTTCTAAACCTTGTAAAATTTCACCACAATTTGTCATTATTTCTTTCCTTTGGCCAAAGACTTTTAAGTTTTCCTAACATAGTTTCTATTTTGATTCAAACATAAAATCATCCTCTAAGAAACATTTCCATGAAATTATCATAATTTCCTCCTATGATAAATGTCATAATTTTCATGCTAAGATAATAGAGTTGGCACTTTTCAACCAATTAAAATAGAAAATAACATAAAAAATTCACAAAATGCATAATTTACCACCATTTCATATACTGACAGTTTGCACTACCCTCAAAGAAGTATTTTTCTATAGTAACCTATACACTTAAAATTATTATGTTTGTACCATTAAAAACTAGACTCGAATACGAATCTAACCATATAATGCACTTATTCTAATTCAACTTGTACATTTTATGGAAAATTTTCAATCTAGCTTACAAAATCTGTTTGGAGCAGAATCTATTGACCAAGTTTCTGACCTATTACCGATTAAAAATTTATATCTTTTTGTATACACCTATAAATAAATATCCATTTGTTTTAAACAAAACTAAACTGATTTAAGAATCCAACGATATAAAAATCTTATTTTATTTTGTTGAAGAATCGGGTAAAGAAAAACGAAAGAACACAATAATTTTAACGAGGTTCAACAATGTGCTTACGTCCTCGGTGCCTAGGCGGCGCTAGAAGTTTTATTGAATGTCTCATATGTTTAGGTTACATCTTTATTTATAATAAATAAACCTTGGTACATATTTACAAATATAACCCTGTACCGTACTTTACCGGTATATTTATGAGCCATACCTAACATATTCATTCTTGTAGAATTTATAATGATTTTTCTAAACTTACTGTCCAAATTACCAATTTAAACCGATTTCACTAATTTACATTCTTAACTTATTCAATCACGTTTATTATCTTATCAAATGAACACAAATGAATCAAATGAAGATCCTAACATCATCAGCACAATCACCTTCAGCACAATACAATAATTTCCAACATTTACATAATTATACTTTAATTTCTCAAGTCATGCAAAATTGGCTCCTAATACTCTAACTTGTTTCAAGCTTGATTCATCAAGTAAAGCTCATTTCCAATCAATTCTAATCATTCTAAATCAAATTCAAAGCAAAAAAAAAAATCAAATTCAACCAAGTTCCTAACATATCCATCAATGGCCAGATCACGAGACCAATCCCTCAAATAATTTTTATTCAACTTTCATGCTTAATTATAACCCTACAACACTCCTAATATCAAAATCTAACTTATTTTTATCAAATTCTCAAATCCCCTTCATCCATCAAAATCACAACTTTCACCATTCAAGCATGAAACCAAGAAATAATTACACCAAATTTTAGAAAATTTAATGGGGGTTATTTTCTTATTTCACACTTTAGCCCAAAATCTTACTGAATTTGATCAAAAATGGAAAAGAAAAGAAATTTCTCACCTTGGCTATGAGTTTCAACAACCTGGTGGAGAAGAAGAGACTCCCAAAATTTCTGAAAAAATCCCCCAAATTTGACTTTTAAAACAAAAAAAATATTCATTTTGGGCCAAAAGCCCAAATTGTCATTAATTAATTAATTCCAAAAATTATAACCATGCCACTCCATTATCTCTATTTTAATATTATTAAATATCCGTAAAAATCTCATCTCTCAATTTTTCTTTCTGATCCTCCAATTTTCTAAAATTTTATTTTAGTCACTAAATTGTACTATCTCACTTTATAGTGCAATTCTCACCAAATTCCACCGATCCAGCTTAAATATCTCAATTTAAAAATGTTAATGTAATTTTCCAACCCAAATATACCTTCATGAAAATTTTTATAAATTTCGATTTGAGCTGGTTATCCGAATAATATACCAAATTTTATCCTTTCATAGACTTTTATGCAAAAATCCTAATAAAAAATCTCAAACCCACTAAAATAATTGTCTTGGGATGAAATAATAATTTACAAATCCAAAATATAACTTTTGAAAATTTACATTATTAGTCCCTATACTTTTACAACTTTATATTTTAGTCTCCAAACTTTCAAAATTTCCACTTCAATCATTAATCAAATTGCTGGGATACTACAGATAATTAATAGATAGAACAACTTTTCTTCACATGTTCTATAACAATCCATAACTTTCTAGCATTGTGTCCATCGTTTTCTTTAAATTTTGTTTTTTTTTTCATTTCATATTTATGGTCCAATGTCATCCATAATTTTTTAGTCATTTTAGGGATACTATAAACTTCATACAGTGTATTCGACAATTCATTCAAGATGTAATTTCGACATAGGAAGTCAGAATTCTCCAAGTTCGAACACAATAATTATGATAATAACGTTCTCCTCATCCTCTCTAATAATAGGAGGATCATCATATATTTGACCAAATTCAACATGGTCAAATAAAACAACATCGTATATTGTCATGTTTTAAAAAAATTTCCATAGAATTTCACGAGCTTCTCATTGTGACTCATAGCTATTGATACCATTGAATTTTATTCAAAACCAGTGTAGAACTCAAAATTATAAATCATGAGTTACGTGAATCGGTGAGGTTACCCATTGTTTCGTAATAATTCTTGTCATACCCCAAAATTGGGGTTAATATTTTAGTCTTGATAATTTAGAATTTTCAATGGCTTTAATTTTATTTTTGGTATTAAATTGAAAAAAAAAAATCACATCTTGAAGATCTTTTCTGAAAACCTTAGAAATTATAGGGGCAAATTCTTAAAATCCAAAATCTTTGGGGACCCTTCACGTGATTAACCTATAAATGAATTTGAAATTGAATTTTCTACTTAGCTATATTTAGGGATGGGCATGGGACTCGAACCCGACCCAACCCAAAAAATACCTGACCCGACCCAAAAAATAATTTTACCTTATATATTTATGAATAATTATAAAAATACCCCTCTATATATTATTTTTTTCAATTAAATCAATATTTTTATTGAAAAAAATAATATTTTTTATTATTTCAGGTCAGGTCGGATCGAGTTCATATTTTATCTCAAAAAATCATATTAGTCGAAACCGACCCATGCCCGTCCTAGCTATATTCCACTGCCTATTTTCCTATTATCTATTTATTTATTTTAAATGTTTATTTGATTTATATGTTATATTATTTATTTATTTTAGTTCTAAAATATATCCCTTAAACAATCTATTTTAGAGTATTTTTTAATAAGATTTCTATCTTTTATCTTTATCTCTATTTTAGTTAAATATGATCTTATCAATTTATAACGTTTTTCCCTAAACCCTATATATTGTAACGAAATAAAGAGAGATCAAATTTATCTCGTTCTTTATTGTTTTGTTTCAAATTATGTGAATATTGATTTAGTTATTTTTTTTTAAATGTGTGACCCCTCTCCACTAAACCTTTGACTCAAGATTCCGATCACGAAAGTCTTTGCTCGTTAGTATATTTAGTGCTATACGATTTAAGGTGTTTGTCTTACTGTGGTACAACTGTTTTTTTCCTGGTGCTATATTATTTTTGTGTAAGTTGTGTGACTGGTTGAATATTGAAGTGAAGCATGTATGTTATGTGTTTTTATTGTATTAAATACAATTCAGATAAGTATGTTATGTGAAAAATGTATTTATCAGTTTTAAATTTATGCTATGTATCCAGATTTTGAAATTTATGTAAATGTTTTTACATTCAGATCGGATCAAAATTTGGATATGTATATTTTGGAATTTATGTATTTAGTGCTATTGTATTATGTGGATTTGTATGGAAATCAATAATTTAAAGATCATGTTCAAAATTCAAGAGTCTATTTGCCAGCTTATATACCAACTTCTTTGATCTAGAAAGGTAGCAAGGCTAAACAAGGTTTTTGAAAAATTAACTTTGATTTCTATATAAACTAAAAAATATTTTTTAAAGGTTAAAAAGGCTAAAACTTCAACGTAAAGTATAGAAAAAGAGTTGCAATGACAAGCTCATATAAAGCCTTCATAAAATGCTTAAGAGGAAAACAAATATTCGTAGGTATTTAAGATAATTTTAATCTAGCAATACTCCAACAACTCTACCTCTTTTACAACTGTTCTGGGGTCAAGTTGGCTCAATGCATCCAATAAGAAAGTGGTGAAACAAACAAAGAACACAATGATTTAAGATTCATTGATCAACAATTGTCCAAAATATTTTATAGACTGATATACAGCTAGCCAAAATAAGATTTACCATATTAGTCAAAGTGTTCATCGGGATGAAAAATATATAATATGATAATGAATGAACAACATATATTTCTTCATAAAAATATGAACTTTGAGAAGGAAATTACTTGATTAGTGCAAATCAGGTAGAAATGGAAAATTGTAAGACCATCGACGAACCATACAACTGCGAAGCAGTAGACTATGAGAATTATGGATAAGATATCACGCGACATAACCTTCCAAAGATTGCTATCACTGTCAGCTTCCTTTTCAATGATATTGATCCAAGAACAAACAAAGACATGTAAGAACAAGATGGTTGCAGTTGATATAAACAGAAAGAAGAACCGACAGTTCCGCTGCAACCAACACACAAGTCAAAAGCACCATTAGTTTCAACCGCAAATCAACATTTCAAATTATATGGTACTGCAAATCATTCATTTAAATTTTATATGCAAGATCATGCAAAAAAAATTGATTTGGGGTAACGGGTAACCCTATTGGTAGGATAATTTCACAACTTGTGCCATTTTGTAGAATTATATCCTTAATAAATAATAATCCTGAATTCAATAAGAAACGATGTGGTACATCCTAAAGATTAAAATTGCCAATGAGCAGTCACCAAATGTAAAATACCCTTAACAAGATGAATAAAAATTCCACACGTACTTTTTGGTTATGAGAAGCATCATTTAAGATGTTCATATTGTTAATATGATACTAAATTACAAAATGGTGATATAAAAGACATAGAACCTCGAACAATATTTGACGGTGAATGGATTTAAGACCATGATCAACTAAAACATTTAATATAAAGTTCTAAGATGTGTTCCTTTTGTCCAGGTTGCAAATTTTATTTAAATTTCTCTTTCATAATGTGTTGTGAATATTTGGTATTCTTGATTTACTAAAAATTAGAAACTAGGAGTCTACAATTTTTGCTTATACTTTCCCAAACTTTTAGATATTAATGATAGTTTGTGATTCATTTTTAGGTCAATTAATAATAAGGTCTATAGTTCTAGAATTATTCTCACAGAATCTCAAGCATGTTTGCTCAATGAAATCAAGTCCAAGTCAGATTTTGGAATGTTAAATTTGAAGCCAATAAATCTCCTTATTATCCTCATTCGGATTTTAAATCATCTTCAATCAACTTGGACCATTCATAGAAATTTTATCTTAAACGCTAATTTACTTTTCACCTTACGAAACAACCTCTAAATAACTCTTTGATTGTCTTATTTTTTCATTGCAACATTAATGCCCTATCAAAATTAAGCCCAGTACAATATTCACTTCAAACTTTATACTATAAAAATATTTATCATAAAGCTCATTCAATACATTGTTATAAAATATCATGTTTATGTCAATCTAGTTCAAGTCATGTCAAAAAAAATCTTTCATGCTCATTATTCAAGTGCTTCCTACCAGTAAGTACATTTAGTTAATAAAAAGGTTCACAGAGGAAACTTAAACTTACTATTCCAATGCATTGAGCAACCCATGGGCAGTGATGATCAAACCTTTGAACACAGTTGTTGCATATGGAACAATGACATGCTCGGGGAGGACGATAAAGTAAACAGGTGTCACAGTGCTTTACTTTCACAGTGTGGCCATTAACCATTACATCTTTGGTAAGAGGAAGTTTTAAATGAGGAGTTCCACCATCTACCCACTCCATAGATGGGGTAGTCTCTTCAAAAGCTTCATCTGATAAGGGGGGTTTTGAATTTCTGGGTAGAATTCCAGGATCTCTACCAGAGTTACAGAAGAGAGACACAAGGTCCTGCAAAAATTGACTTTCATATTAACTTTATATTTTCTTTTGTGAAGTGCAGTTTCACACAAAAAGCATAATGTAAAACTAATTGAATTTCAAATAAAGAGATAAAAATCGTCAAACATACCATTCACCGAAGCCAATAATAAAGCACCAAACAACAATACAACGCATAAATGAATTATAATGCAGACAAGTGACACAACAAACAAAAAAAAAGTTAACCAATGGCTAGTTGCATGAAAGAGGCTACATCTTGCATAAAAAATGTCTTCATGCAAGAAGATTTTCTTTTATATGCAAACACAATCAAGTCCGGATTGAATGCCCACATAAGGTTGTAAAACATAATTAAATGGAATGCCCATGCAGGTAACGTGTAAATTAATGGTTTCAAAACTATTTGAATGGCATAATTCTTAAGCAGTGACCACCAACTCCACAATCAGTTGAATCAAAAAGAAGACTAACCAGTACAGAGAGAAAAGCACCCAGAATTAATATGAAATAACCACGACCAACATTAGTATTTTCATGTTTGATCTTTATATACATCCTTGTGCAGAAAGCAATTGCAGGTCCAACAATCAGAAATGTGGATAGAAACAATGATGCAACGTCAGGAACAAAGATCAATATTCCACCAAAAAAGAATCTCTGTTGGAACATAATGAACAATACAAAACCACTCTCAATAATATAACTTTGTCACAAGAACAATAATAATATGTAGCAGTTACACTTCTGATGAAGCAAACATGACACAGATTTGGAAGATATTTGGATTTTATTTTTCCTTTTTTGGAGGGCCTGAGCAGAGAATAAGAGAATAGTAAACACAAATATTCAGAGGGACAAATGAAGTAAATAGGAGGTGAGAGGATTCAACAACTCAACTCTCAAGATCATATGCTCATGTTTTTCAATAGCTGATGTTATAGATTCTCATTAAACTCAAGAAAGCTTCATCCATTAACCTTTCAACCCATCCATCTTCATAATATGTTGGGAAAATTATTTAATTTAATCAGAAAGAAAAAAATCGTCATAATTGCAAAATCTCCTAATCAATCCAGGCAGGCTCAAAATTAGAACTAACGGAAATAATTGTAAATTGTAATCTCTGTCTATCCATTTATTTGGTAGCAAAACAAGCAAAGGAGTATCAGTGTCCCATAAAGTAAGGTAAGATAGTGATGTTCAAAATCATAATTGGCAATTTGGCACAAACAAAAAACTCTAATCGCAAATTAAAGGAGAGAAAACAAGAAGAAGAAGAAACTCACATTGCTCCCTTTCCAAACATGATAAAGCCTCTTTCGTTTAGTAGGATCATCATTCGGTGACATAGCTGATTGATTCGATGATTGATGATAAAGAAAAAGAAATCATAATAAAAACCCAAAACAATAACTAGTAATTAATTACTAATAATGCCTCTCCAAACAAGAGTAAACCAAAGCTCGTTCTTCATTTTCCAATTACGAATCAAACAATTAAGAGTGGTGATTGATGCAAAGGTGAGTCGATCAATGACCAATGATCAATGATCAATGAAGAGAGACAGAGAGAGAATCGCTGGATTAAACCAGGTGCAGCCCAGCTTCTGCCCTCCCTCGTCTCTGCGCCAACATTACAACACCAAAGGAGGTTATACCAAGCTATTATATTGATATCCTCTTTCTCTCTCTTTACCCTTGTTTTTCACTAAAAAAAAGGACAAATAAAAATTATATAAAAAGGGTAAAAAAGAATAAAAAGAGACAAAACTTTGTTGCCTGCTCTTCTTCTTTTCTCTCTATATAGACTTTGAAATAATTTGTCCTTTTTTTTCTATACAAAAACAAAAAGGGTAAACTACACATTTAGTATATAAACTATCAATTTTGATCAATTTTAGTATCTAAACTTTTAATTTTGATCCATTTTAATACTTAAACTTTCAATTTTTATCCATTTTAGTACCTAAACTTTCAAAAAAATTAAAACCATACCTAAAATTTGGATTTTGTTTAATTTTTAGTACCAAAGCTTAAGTGTTCAAAATATTTAGACTTTAGGTACCTAAACCCTACTTAAGTTTTGAAAGAAAAAAATGAAAGTTTAGGTACTAAAACGACCACAACTGATAGTTTAGGTACTAAACGCATTGACCACAACTGATAGTTTAGGTACTAAACGCGTTAAATTTTTAACGGCGAGTACTAAAATGAAACAAAAACTAAGTATTAGGTATAATTTTAAAAAAAAACTAAAAGTTTAGATATTAAAATTGATAATTTAGGTACTAAAATTGATAGTTTAGTTACCCAAATAAAAATGAGGAAAATAAATGGAATAATGCATGCGAGTTCCCAACAAAACACGATGAGTTGTAGAGTTGGGCAGATGTTTCTGCCTACTATTCTCTTTCTGATGCTTAATTTACACTCATACTTACAGCTAATACTATTTTTTATTTTATTTTTGCATATAACAATATTTGTTTTGTTTTATTGTGAAAAATTATTAGGGTAAACGACACATTTAGTATTTCATCCGTCTTTTATTATGTTTCGGTCATTTCAAAAATTATATCTAACTTTACATTTTAAAAACATTTTGGTTATCCACTATCAAAGAAATAATAAAATTATTGATGTGATATTTTTTATTTTTTCTAACGATTATATGGTACTACCTTATGGTGATACGTCATCATCACTATTAAATTTTTAACGGCGGGACACCAAAATGAAACTAAAACAAAATGTAACCAAAATAAAATGCTAGGTATGATTTTGAAAAAAGAATAGTTAGGTGACCAAAATGGAACAAACATGATAATTTAGGTTCTAAACGTGTAGTTTACAACATTTAAGGTACTTACAACTAATACAATTTTTTATTTTTTGCATAAAACAATATTTTTTTTGTTGCATTGTGAAAAATATATTGATTAAATTGTATTTTCATTTTTTAGTCATAATCAGATTATAGAAATAGGGGTAAACAACATGTTTAGTAACTCAACTATCATTTTTTGTTTCATTTTTGTCATTCAATTATTTTTTTCAAAATCATGCCTACTGTTTAGTTTTGATTTTATTTTGATCACCCACTATTAAAAATTACCGGTTATATTGACATGTCACTATAAGGTAATGCATATCATCATTGAAAAAATCACATCAGCAGTTCTGTTAATTTTTTAACGATAGGTGACCAAAATGAAACCAAAATATACGTTAAGTATGATTTAAAAATAATAATTAGAAAATCAAAACGGAATAATAATAATCGAGCTACTAAACGTGTAGTTTACCTAAAAATAGTTAGCAAACGTCTGCCACATTATGTTCTCATAAATGTATTTATTTATACATCTAGGTAAATATAAGACAATATCGACAGTATCTATCAAAAGACTCTTAACCAATTGACAATGAACATCCATACCCCTGTCGGTTCCCGGACCTATAACCTTTAGGGCGAATAACGAGTCCCTTAACCATCGAGGTCAATTGGTTCGTGTTGTTCTCGTAAATGTTGAATTGGTCTCCCATCATAGATTCTTTATTTTAGTGTGTGTTCGGATACTTGTCATATTATGTGATTAAAAATAATTAGAGTGAAGTACATAAATGGTTGCCTGAGCTGGCATTAACCCTCGAACTGAGATATAATAGTCGTTTGGGATTATGAGATCAAATTTTATCATATCTCAGTCAGCAGGTTAACGTCCAGCTTAGAATGTCATTAATTTTTAATGAAAAATGACGAGTTTGGAACATAATGAATACTAAGTAACTATTTTGTAACTTTTAATAGTCAAAAGACTCAACAAAACAACTCCTTATAGTCGGAGGACCACTTTATAACTTTTCATAGTCAATCACTCAACAAAACAATATCCTATAATTAGGGGATCATTTTTGTATAAGGATGGGTTGGGTCTGATTTTTGGTCAACCCGACCCAAAAAATAGATCTCCTCCACCTGAACCCGACTCAACCTGAGTTTAGGGTGATTTCACCCTACCCGACTTGAAATAAAGAGGGATCTAAATTAGGGATCTAAATTTAAAAAATATATATAAAGAGGGATATTGTTGCAATTATCCTTAAATATATAAGATAAAATTATATTATTTTTCGGGTTAAGTTGGGTCATTTATTTTTCACCCTAAATTCGAACAAGACCCAACCTGAACTTCTCCTCTAAGAAACCCGACCTGACCTAACTCGAACCTAATTTTTTTAAAAAAAAATTGATCAAATTGGGTTGGGTCAGAACCCGTCGGATTCGAATCTCGTGCTCATCCCTATTTGTTTAATTTGCCCAAATAATTATATAGTTGAATATTTTTAAATAATCTTCATAATTTATAAACTTTATTAAATTTAGTGTGTGAGGAGACCTTCAATTCTTCTGGAGAATAAGAATATCTTTAACTTTTATTATTGATATTATTATTAGTTCAACCATTGATTATTATTATTATTATTGAGATTTTATAATAAATAATAATAATGTATGTATATATATTTTTATAGAAGCTGTAAATTTTATTAAAAATAAAAAATATCCAAATTACAATAAAGATTTACGACCATAACCGTAAACTAAAAATATTTTCCTAAACACAAGAAAACTAGTCACTCAAGATCACACAAGGACCAGGAAAGTGTTAAAAAACCTAACCAAATAATATCACAATATTATAAATTTGAATAAAACAATATTATAAATATTCACAATAAAATTCAAACAGAAAATCAAAAATTCGACTCTACTCAACTCGAATTTTATAAACTCAGCTTAAAAAAATTTCAAGTCAACTTCAAGTTATAAAATATGACTCATCAACTCGAATAACTCAAAAAAATTTTACTCGACTGGTTCGAACGTTGGCCACTAGTTGCATACTAAGGCCATCTCCAGCGCTGCGCCATTGTGGAGTAAATCTCCACTTTAAATGCTCCAGCCCTGCGCTACAGTATCACGCTCCTCTACAATATCATGCTACATCTAGCGTGTTACTGTAGTAATGCTACAAAAAAAATTAATGATTAAATTAGATTAAAGTAGATAACATTATAAGATAGATAAAAATACATTGAAATTAGATAAATAAACATACTAATTTTTTGAAACATAAAAATACAACAAACATAAAAACATAGAATTTTTTTAATGATTAAATTAGATTAAAGTAGATTAAATTGCAAGATAGATAAAAAAATACATTGAAATTAGATAAATAAACATACTAATTTTCTTATTTATTTGTATTTTTGCAATATTATTTATGAATGTTTTATTTATACTTTTTATCTTGATATTTTTTAGAAATGTATATGTTTTAATTTATATTTTCAAAATTAATATTATAATAGTTAAATATTGTGAATAAAGTAGAGTTAATGGTAATGTAGAGATAGCGCTAGAGATGAATTATTGTTTCATCTCTAGAGTAGAGATAGAGATGCGCTAGAGTAGAGATGAGGGTTGGAGATGGCCTAAGCCACTTGTGTAAAAATAATTGGATTAGAGTCCATGTAATTAGAATATGGGTGAAGTAGACAAATGGTCCTAGATTATAGGATGTTTTTTTTAATTTTATAACTATTAAAAATTATAAAGTGATCCCTGACTGTAGATTATTACTTTATTGAGTCATACTATTAAATGTAACAAAATGATCATTCGAGTATTCATATGTTCCAAACTCTTTTTTTGTTAAAAAAATGATGACAGTCTAAGCTGGATGTTAACTTGCTTACTGAGATATGATAAAATTTAATCTCAAAATCTCAAACGACTATCATATCACATGCAACATGTTAACATCCAACTCAGAATACTATCAATTTTTAAACGAAAAATGACAAGTTTGGAACATATGAATAGTCCCGTGACCATTTTGTAACTTGTAATAGTCTGAGGACTCAATAAAACAATACTCTTTAGTTGGGGACCACTCTGTAACTTTTAATAGTTGGGGGCTCCAAAAAATAATAGCCTATGATTGAGGGACTATTTGTGTATTTTACCCTTAGAATATATATATATATATATATATATATATATATATAATTGAGTAACTTCACCGCTTGAGGCTGTCTTGTTTAATTTAACCTCTCGCTTCCTGCTTTATTTGAATTAATTTAATGTAGTTTTTGTGGCTGTAATGAAATTTCTTACTTTTACATTTTTACTATGATGAGCCTACTCTCTTATCCTTTTTAATATTTACATTTAGTATTCGTGCTTAATTATATTCAAATATGGATATGTGTAGGATAAACAAAATTCAACTCGAAAAAACTCAAGTTGAATTGAATCGACTTGTAATTTTATAAACTCGAATCGACTCGAAAAAATTTCAAATTAAAATTGAGTATAGAATTTGAATAACTCAAATAACTAAATTTTTAGTGACTAGAGGATGAGTTTTCAAGTTTGAATTGAATCCCTCAATTATAAATTATATAAGTATATTACATATAGAAATATGTAAAGAATATATATATATATATATATATGCTTTTAGAAAATTGTTTAAATTAAAATGAAATAGTACCATAATATTATAAATATTTATAATTAAATTTAAAGATAAACTCAAAAAAAATCAACTACACTCAAGTGCACTCAAATTTTAGAAACTCGACACGAAAAAATATCAAATAAAATTTGATTTCATAAAATATGACTCATTAATTCGAATACTCAAAACTTTTGACTAAACTCGATCGAACGTAAATTTTAATATACATTTACATAGTTTCAAATCAAATAGATTTTGGTAATTGTGGGAAAACTCCATTGAAGCACAGATATAGCAAACATCAGTAAGATTGCTGCAATTACTCAAAGCTACCAAAAAATTGCATTGAAGCACAGAGATAGATAACCATATCCATAAACAAAATATGAGTAAGCTATTCAGTGAATACACAAACATCATACAATAAGAACAAAACAGCAGGTAAACCAGTTCGTTCACATGCAAACTCGGTAAAATTGCTGCAAGTTACTACTAAAATATGTTCCCATGGGCACATGATATATTGAACATGCCTAGCTTTTTCACCATCATATCAGCCCTTAGAGGAATAAATAAAGGAATACCATTGAAACGATTCACCTAACATAAAGAATGTCTGATCAAGGGAACTGGAATGATCCTCCAATCTGGTTCGTGTTCGACGGAGGATTGATTGCCACCCAAAGGAGGGATATGGTGATGGCCATAAGACCAGACCACACGAAGACGATGGTAGGTGTCCTCCCTCTTCTTCCCATAAGCCCTTTCGCAAAAGGGTAGAGATGAGCCAGAACCCAGAAACTGAAGAAAACTCCACCTAGCAACCGACTCCACTGAGGAATAACGCTGTAAATTGTTCGGCTAAACCCGACTGCTATTGCTATTAAGTTGACCATCATGATCGTGATCGGAGGTATCATCAAGGATGTCCATTTGACAATATAGAGATCAGCAAACTCGTCATCCACGTCATCTCCTGCTGATTTTGAGGTCAAGGTGAAAGAAATCTCAATCCCGGCAATCACTTTCAACAGCCCTTGAAGCACGGCAGCAAGATGCGCACTTGTTCCACCGATCAACCAGAACTGCTCATTTCTCCACCATTCTTCTAGTTCAATGCCAGACCACTTAATTTCAAGCACAGCTAGCAAGCAAAGAGTAACTGTGATGATGAGCAGATAAGTAAGGAAAGTGACATTGAGAGTCTGGACAATGAACTGGCCGGAGAAGAGCGAAAGCGCAGGGAGGAAACAGTAGACAATCAGGAAAATGGAGGTGAAGGGATAGATTCCGACATTAAGATAGGCAATTCTCTGTAGAAACTTCATTCTAGGACTGGCAAGGAGAGCATTGTTACGGGAGAAGAAAATCTCAACAGAACCAGTAGCCCAACGCAAGACTTGGTGAAGCCTATCAGTGAGATTGATTGGAGCAGTCCCACGGAATGCATCACGCTTAGTTACGCAATAAACAGATTTCCATCCTCTGTTGTGCATTCTATATCCAGTAACCACATCTTCAGTAACAGACCCATAAATCCACCCAACACGCTGTCCCCACTCGGTCTTGTCCTCGTACCAGCATGAGATGACACTGATTGCTTCTGCAACAGTAGAAGCATCAAGAAGATCACGAGGAATGGTGAGAGCACCAGGTGGGCGCCCATTCTTTACAGCTGGGTGATCGGCAAGGGGCCGACCTTGAAACTCAGCAACTGGAATTGAATCAATGAGAAATGTCGAGTTCCCAAACCTCTTAGGTAGCAGGGAGAGGTTCATCTCCTCATCATCAGAATCACCCATTCTAAGGGCACGGTTCTCCTCTGGGCTGTGAGCCATTGAGGAATGTTTCTTCTTACGACCAAAAAAGCAGCAGCTGCAACAACCAGAGTGATGTTCTTTTGATCGTGGTGGGTCAAAACCATAGAGGGCAACCCTCCGAAAGAGGCATCCAGTTCCGACATAGACAGGACCCATAAGACCATCAAGAGCTCGCATGTTTACATCAAAGAAAACAGTATTGTTATTGGCATATCGATCAGAAGGGTCAATCCCCTCAAACCTTTGAGGGAACTGGACATAACAAAGTCGGTCACCTCCTCGATCCATCATGAAGCACATGCCTTCCCTCATTGCCTGAGAGTTATAGATATAGTGATCACAGTCAAGGTTCAGGATAAATGGGCCATTGGACATGATTGCAGATGCCCGAACAAGGGCATTCATGGCACCCGCCTTCTTGTTGTGATCATATCCCGGGCGCTTCTCCCGAGAAACATAAACAAGCAAAGGGAGACGAATATCAACATCAGTTAGATCAATGAGCCAATCCTCAGCAGTTCCATGTAATGGTTCATCACTGGGTGGTTTCAGCATCACCTATGAAATAAAAAATTTAAGACATCAAGAAAAGAAACGTCGGCATCACATTATGGGCTTGAATTCCCATTACTTTATCTATAAGAGTAAAACCTCCTAAAACTCAATCTCACCAAATCCAAAAGGAAACAAAGTCTAAAAATTAGTTCATTCAATGTACTAGTTGAAAGTGTGAAAAACAATATGTTCCGACCATATAGATACATACCTGTATTATACCAGCATGGTCGCCCTTGGAGTGCTCAGCAGCTGGATTTAACCAAGTCCCAGGCCAATGAGTTCCATCAGCCATCCATGTAGCTTTCGGGATCTTCACAGTCTCTACAGGTTCATCTTCCCTATTCTGTCTCTGCAGCTTCATTGCCTTGATTTCCTCTCTTGCATGAAACGCATCAGACCTACGGCGTATGGAGTCTGGCAAACTATTGATACGGACCTTGAATTCATCATACTCACGTTTAACTCGCCGACGGTCCTTGACAAAATCTGGTTTGACTTTATTCTTGTAAGGATCCCTCTTTAGGTTGAAGTAAGATTCTGGGTTCCTAGGTTCGATATCATGTTTACGACAAAACGGAACCCATGTATTAGCAAAACTTGCTGCTTCAGCCATGGCCTCAAAAGTTAAGAGTGCTCCTCCGTCATCAGAAACATAACAAGCAAGTTTTTCAACTGGGTAATCTGCAGCTAGAATCGACAAGATAGTGTTTGCAGTGACAAGAGGGGGTTCTTTCTCAGGATCAGCAGTAGAGACAAAGACATCTATGCCTGGAAGGTCAGATTTTCCAGTAGGATTATTAAGGGTTGGTGTTTCGAATTTGTCCTTCAACACATTAAGGTCTGTAGCACGGTTGATAGGGCACAACTTGGGCAATTGGTCAAGAAGCCATGAAAAAGCAAACCAAATTTCACAAACCACAGACATTCCCCATAGCCAAATAGCATCGTTGTTCTGATGTTTGACCCTCCAAGCCAAAAACAATCCAAGAACAACAATTCGCACAAAAATTAGAAGCCTGCAAACATGGAAAGAGAGGTTAAAAGGTAATGAAACAAAAAGGAAATGCAGAATCAATATAGTCACCTTCCTATATTTATCAGTACATTGTGCAATCGTATTGACCTACTGAGCATAAATGTGGTAGAAAAACACAGCTCAAATATTCAATGACAAATAAAAGCTCAAGTTTGTTACATGTAGTATGATATAGAAATTAAGACTATACCGATAAGGGCTGAGAATAGCTGCTGGAATTTTCAATTTCCGAGTAAGCGGCCTCCAGGGTTTGCTCATCAGTTCTGTTGGTTCAGCAACTTCATCATCTTTTCCATTACCTATATTACCATCCTTTGGCCATATAGCATTGCCATAACCATAAGTCCCTCTAGTCTCAAACAGCCAACGGTTGTGATCGAAGTCTCCCGTCTGACTCCTCATCAGCGCTGATTTTGTTGACTTCATTAAAGACAACCTCCTCTCCATTTTGGACATTGTACCAGAGGGAGGAAGTGGAAGCGGCCTTGAATTATTATCCACTGCAGTTTCATCGAGATCTGTGTTCTTATATGGCTCCTTACATCCAGGGCATATTCCACCCCCTGATCTCACTGCATCAATGTAACAATCCCGACAAATTTTGAAATCACACTCACAAGGGAGAATATCCGCACCGCGTTCATCACTCATTACCTTTGAGTCACACCCCAGAATTGCACATGAAGATCCTTTTGCACCAGCCATCTGTGGATGGTTTGCTTCAGACTCAATCACCTTGTCCATTAGATGTGCACGTGTAACACTATTGAACCCACCAGTAAAAAGTGAATTCGATACATATTGCTCTTCAACCTTCTGAGATATAGAAGGGTCCACGGGTTGGTTGTCAGGGGTGGGGGGTATATGCACTGTATAGTTCATGAAATCAGTGCTACCAAGCTCACTATCGAGATCATCCCTTGAATAGCTCACATAACGACCGGAGGAAGTTCTCCGCCCAAATGTCACAGATGGAGGAATAGGAGGCTTCTGCGACTCTGCTATGTCAGAGGAAATCGACAAAGAAGATCGAATTCCTTTGAAAGACTTTGAAGCCATTTTTTCAGCTCTAGCAAAGAATTATCCTTAGATCCTACAACATCAACATAAAAACAACTTAAAATACCAATGATTTGGACAATTGAGCAATAGATAGTAAAGGTAAATAAATCATACGACTTTACAGTCAGATCATGTCAACATCTGCAATAATAATCGAATAACTTTTCCTACAACAACAGATCTACATTTAAACTGAACAACAAGATTATTCAGATTAAATTAACACAAATCTACTGGCTTAATATTGACGCGTGTAAACATATTCATATTATTAAGCCTCAAAACTAAATCCAAATCTTTTACAAAATAAATCTAAAGCAACAGAGCTCTAAACAGGGAGAAAGATACCTCTAAAGCCCAGATCAAACAATAACACTTATCCAGCTCACACATTTTCCCATAAACCAAACAAATTGACCCCAAGAAAATGAGAACTAGCATAAACCCAATTTTCCTTTAAGGAAAAAAAGATAGAAAAAAGTCTAAAACAATGGGGGGGAAAACAGATCTTAAGCATAGCATTAGCAACACTAACATGGTTAAAAGCTCACCTTTTTTATTTCTGTCTACTTCAGGAAAGAAAAACTATTCCTCTTTTCAGATCCCTTCCTGCATCTAATCTTGACAACCCTTTTTAAATCAGAACAATCAAAACTTTTCTTGAGACTACAAGCACCAACAGATAACAAGGGGTGAACTTTATAGTTATTCTATGCCATTAAAGGAAAAAAAACATCATGTAGATCTGGCCGAGATGGATTTTTTTTTTTGTAATGAAAAAGGAGAAGCTTCTTTGAAATGGGGTCTTTAAAGAGAAGTGGAGAGAGGGGAACGTGCAGAAAAGATAACGAAAATGATGAGTTGGACTGAGTTGTAACGCCGGTTACTGTAAAATATTGTAAACTGCTACTGAACTCGGTCCTTCACCGGCTGTTTCTGTAATATTTTACACTGATTTGTTGCACTTTTATCTCATGTTCTTGCTCAAGTAATATTTTGGAGTAGGTTTTTCGTGTTTGATTTTGGACAAAGATGGAGAAAATAAAGAACGCGTTGCTTTCTTATGACCAAAAAGGTAAAGAAAAAGACTCACTAGCCATTATTTCCGGAGAATTATTGCATTAAAGTAAGGCGAGATTTTAATTTTGGGAATTTTATAGTAAAGATGTGAATATAATAGGCTTAATTAAAATTATACTCAAAGTTAATTTTAATTGTTTAAAAAAAATTCACTAAAAATATATATATAGCGTTTTTGATGTTATACTCTTAAGTATTTGTCGTTAAATTTGATTGGTAAGTGACAAGTGTCTAGGGACGGGCATGGGACCCAAATCCAACTTGATGGAGTCGGGTTTTTAAAAAACATTTCGGGTTCAGATCGGATTGATCGAGTTTTTTAGAGATTGTGTTCGGATCAGGTCTGATTCAGATTTAGGGTGAAAAATACCCAACCCAACCATACCTTAGAAAAACATATAATTTTATCTTTATATTTAGAGATAATTACAATAATATCCCTCTATATACTGTTTTTTCAATTAAATCTCTATTTTTATTGAATAAAAATAATATTTTTTAATAAATATATTATTTTGGGTCGGTTTGGGTTTAGATATTATCTCAAAACATCATGTCATGGGGAGGGTGTATACTTTTCTGGTCAGATCAAGTTAACCAAAAATTCGACCCAACTCGACCTATGTCCATCCCTACACGTGCCAGACTTATAAAAAATTAAAAAATTATTTAAAAATTTTGAAATTTTATGACATGACACATATTTTTAACGAAAAATTCTTTAGGTGCCTAAAGTTAACTTTAAGTATAATTTAAACATTTATTTTTATATAAAATCAATACAATAATATAAAGAGAAAATAACCTCAGTGACCAAAAATCCCATATATTATTCGATTTTAACCAACTTTTTCCGGATTTGCCAAAATGACCAACAAAATCGCAATGCGATCGCTAATTCGCAACGCGATCTCCATTATCGCAAATCAGTTTCCAGATTCGCAATGCGATTATGACTATCGCAATGCGATTTTCCAATTTCGCGTTGCGATTTTCCCAATTCGCAATGCGAATAAGTAAATCGCAATGCGAATTTGGAAAATCGCAATGCGAATTTGGAAAATCGCAATGCGAATTTGGAAAATCGCAATGCGATACTGACTATCGCAACTTGATAATACAAAATCGCAACGCGATAATACAAAATCGCAACGCGATACTGACTTTCGCAACGCGATACTAACTTTCGCAACGCGATACTGACTTTCGCAACGAGATAATACATAATCGCAATGCGATTTTCAAAGCGCCATTAGTATCGCAAAGCGTATTTTATTTTCAAATTCCAAACACGAATATTAATATATTGGAACACTAAACCGTCCACAGTATATCCCGTAATCGCAACTCATAACCTAAAACCTAAAATCACAACTTAGTCTCATCTCCATCTCTCACTCTCTCACCCATCTCCGACGAAATCCGTCCCCATCTCCGACGAAATCCATCTATCTCCATCTCTCATAGCCACCCTCACAATCAGAAATGGAAAATCAACCAAATCAACCACCGAGGGTTAGTTTTTTTAATTATTTTCTTTTTGAAATTTTTGCATTATTATTAGGTTTTTCATATTGAAACTGATGATAAGTTTACTGGTAATTTCAATAATAGATTAACCATTTCACTTAGATTGCTTATTAAATCAACTGAGAATCGCAACGCGAAATGAAAATCGCGTAGACAAAATCGCAACGCGATTTTATTCTCTCGTTGCGATAGTCAAATTCGCGTTGCGATTGTCATTTTCGTGTTGCGATTTTCATTTTCAGAAACTATTCTTCTTCTGCAAATTGAAACTTGAATGAATTGCATTACTTCAACCAAAAAACAAAGACAAATAAGAAATTGACAGTGTTGCAAATTTAAGTTTGAAGAATAAACTACTACTCTTTATGTTTATTATTGTTTTTGGTATATCTTCACAGTGTAGTTTTTGGTATATCTAACTTAGTATGTTTATTGTTTTTGTAGAACTTTTATTCGACTCAATTGACCTTAAGAAATAAAGTCAGCCTGACCAAAACAATTGCGTCAAAGCTTTCACCTGTACAAAGAAAAATGTTTGAGGATACTTGCTTCGGGCCATGGCTGAAAGTACAACATCCCGGTGGAGATACGATGTTGACACACCTGTTTCTTCAAACCATGACTAGGGATCTACAAGATACTATACAACGTCGTGATGAAGAGATATGGTTTGATTTTCCACCGGCGTATACGTGTTTTGGGCGGGAGGAGTTTTGCTTAATCATCGGTCTACGCTTCGGACACGATGATGTAGGTCGGTACACTAGACACATTACCCGCCCATCATGGTTATCCCGGGTTTTTCCTGAGCTGGAGAGGCCGAATCTACACGTGGAAGACCTGACGAGATTATTGAATAAGAAAGATGGTTTTACTCGGACGGATGACGTCGATGTTGTCCGAGTATGCCTTCTAATACTTTTGCATGCCGGCTTTTTAGGCAGAGAGGCCAGACAACCTATTCCGAATGATCTAATCAAATTGGTAGAAGACCTAAATGCGTGGAACCTGTTTCCGTGGGGCTCGTATTTATGGAAAGCTACATGGAATAAGTTATCGTCTGCCTTGGATGATCGAAAAAGTTTGCATGGCGATGGTTCCAAATACACTTTGACAGGCTTTATTTGGGCCTTTAAGGTAAGAATTTTTATATAATGTTTCCAAAATTATAAGTAATTATTTAACAATTACTAATGTTTGTTATTATATTGTTTGTAGATTTGGATATTTGAGGTCTTTCCCGCCATGAAGACATATGCAATAAAAACTTCAAATGATATTCCCATGGCTATTTCCTGGAAGAGGAAACGGACCTTGCAATGGGAAGATTTACTACGGTATACGACAATAAATAATGTAAGTTAACATAAATACTACCATATGTTTATAAACAAGTTATTACTAGTACACGTTTAACTTTGTTTGAGCTTTTATATTGTTATGAGGCCAACACTCCATTACAGAGGCTGACACCCACGGAAGCTGAGCTTGCCACTGATTGGTGGCAAGCTAGTAAGCGTTTTTTTGATGGCACGGATGATGAGCAGCCTCCACTTTGGGAGCCATCACCTCACCCAGAGCTATCACCTCACCCAGAGCCATCACCTGATCGACCCGACTATACACCTCCATAACGACAGCCATCACATATTCTGTCATATCATCGAGCCTCTTCTCCACCATCACCGCAAGATAGGCGACCGGTAAAGACGCCACGCCGTTTATCTCCCTGTTCTCCACCTCCACGGGATGAGTTAGGGGAGTTACGTGATGAGGTCAATGCCTTGCGTGAGGAGGTCAGTACTTTACGCAAAGACGATGGTGCATGGCGTGTTGAGGTGTCTACTTTACGCGGTGAGGTAGCCGCTCTACGTGAGATGGTAGCATCGTTGCAGAATGAGGTTCATACTCTACGCAACGAGGTAAGTTTAAGATTTTTCATATTTAACTTGATGATAAATTTACTCGTAATTTCACTTAGATTGCTTAATAAATTCATTCGGTTGCTGCCAATACTGCTAAACTGTTTTTGTTAGTATTTGTTTTTGGTTTTGTTTTTGTCTTTTGGTTGAAGTAATGCAATCCATTCAAGTTTCAATTTGCAGAAGAAGAATAGTTTACTTTCGCAACACGAAAATGACTATCGCAACGCGGAAATGGCTATCGCAATGCAAAATGAAAATCGCAATGCGAAATGAAAATCGCAACGACCAAATCGCAACGCGAAATGAAAATCACAATGCGATTTGTGTTTCGCGTTGCAGTTTTCATTTCGCATTGCGATTTTGTCATTGCGATTTTCATTTCGCATTGCGATAGCCATTTCGCGTTGCGATAGCCATTTTCGCGTTGCGAAAGTAAGTTTCGTGTTGCGAAAGTAAACTATTCTTTTTCTGGAATGTTTATATATGTTGTCCTTTTAAATGTTTATATAAGTGCTTACTTCTGGAATGTTATCTGATGCATTTTGTGAACTATGATAGAATAATGACTTGGGTGAATTCAATGCAAGTTTGAAACATATTTGTCTTTGTTTTCACTGTTTAAATATCATGTCTGTTTATTTACTGATTTTTGTATTTAATTATTTAGCGGCCCGATAAGGTGGATGCTTTACGTCGGGTTTTTCTTGCACGACAGAGTTCACGCATCAGACGGCGTGCACGTACTATTAAGTCTCCGTACACCCCAATAGTGCGAAGACACCGCAAGAAAAAGCCTGACTCGCCTGTCATCCCTCAAGAGTCCACTCCTATCGTTGAAGAGGCCCCTATCATTCCTCGAGAGTCCCCTCCCACCGTTCAAGAGGCCACTGTCATCGTTGAAGAGGTCCCTCCCACCATTCAAGAGCCCGATTCACATGGCGTCATATGTAGGATTCTTGAGAAACCCTCTGACATGCCGGACCTGATGGATTCAAGTTGGCTCTCGTATGAGTTACCGGCCAGTACCATACCGGT